CCACCTCACCAACCTCATCTCATGTGTTCAAGAAAATCTTCTTCACTCTTTTCTTCTCATGCCTTTTTATCGTTTTTGTTGTTTATTCGCAACAGTTTTGTTTGGTGTATTTTTTTCTTTTGTTCATTTGAATGAACTATTTTTCAAATTGATGAAATTTTCCAAAAGTGATGAACTTTTTTTAAAATTGATGAAATTTTCTCCAAATTTGATGAACTTTTTTGGAATTGGATGAATTTTTTCGGATTGGATGAGATTTTCCCCAAAATTGATGAATTTTTTTAAGATTCGATGAACTTTTTTTTGAATTGGATGAACCTTTTTGAATTCGATGAACTTTTTTCCAAATTTGATGAACTTTTTTCAAATTTGATGAACTCTTCTCCAAACTCGATGAACTTTTTTGCAAAATTGATGAACTTTTTACAAATTCGATGAACTTTCTTCACATTCGATGAACTCTTTTCCAAAATTGATGAACTCTTTTCCAAAATCGATGAACTTTTTTTGAATTTGTGAACTATTTTTCAAAATTAATTTTCTAAACTTTTTTAAAATCGATGAACTTGTTTGAAAATCGATGAAATCTTTTTGAGAATCAATGAACTTTTTGTTCAAAATCAATGAAATTTTTTCAGTTTTTCTGGACTTTTTTAAAAATTGATGAACTTTTTCAAATGTTGTGAACTTTTTTTGAAAATTTATAAAAAAAATTCTAATTTGTGATTCTTTCTGAAGTCTGTTTACTTTAAAAAAATCACTTTTTTGCCAAAATAAATCACATTTTCCTAAAAAAATCACATAATTCAGAAATCTACGCGGCTACAGTGTTTTGTTCTTATTCATCATCGCGCTGCAATTTTTCAGAAATGTGTAGTAGCTCGATTGGTTAGCCAACCAGTTACTAGAGGTAAGGGTAGCGACTTCAATTCCATAAGTTAGGAACTCCTAGGGGGCAGAGCTTAGTTAGAGCTAAACTGGGCCGTGACCTACCCAGGATTTTTTTGTTTTTTTACCTATCTCGTTCCTAAAAAAGTTAATTTATCCAAAATGATTGGGCTGGCTAATGCTCTCAGGCCCATGCCATATTTTATGAGTTTTTTTCGGGCTACTACTACATTGCATTGTTGCGTGTTCGTGGGCCTGGCCCATACTAGCAGCTGTGTGGGCGCCAGAAACTCCAACCGGAGCTGAAGGCGCCGGTTAGGAGCTCCCGGGGGCGGAGCTTAGTTAGGGTTAAACTAGGTCGTGACCTACCCAGGATTTTCGTGTTTTTTTCCCTATCTCGTTCCTAAAAAAACTTAATTCATCCGAAATGATTGGGCTAGCTAATGCCTCTCATGCCCACGCCATATTTTATGAAATTTTTTCGCGCTACTACTACATTGCACTGTTACATGTTCGTGGGCCTAGCCCATACTAGAAGATGCGTGGGCGCCAGAAACTCCAACCGGAGCTGAAGGCGCCGGTTAGGAGCTCCAGGGGCAGAGCTTAGTTAGGGCTAAATTGGGCCGTGACCTGTTCAGGAATTTCGTGTTTTTTTACCTATCTCGTTCCTAAAAAAAGTTAATTTATCCGAAACGATTGGGCTAGCTAATGCCTCTCAGGCACATGCCTCGCGCGCGTGAGATTGCGCACATGCACTGGGAGCTCCTGAACGACGCATGGCGTACCACGTAAGCCGGCCCAGAAACACGCAGGGTATATATAGCGCAAAAAACCTTCCAAACAAGTTGCTCCCGTGAGGTTTAGAGCATGCACGGTTTTTAAATACGGTGCACCGTGCCTAACCACTAGATTGATTACATCGCGAAACTTTTATGAGCAACTGTACCCGCACTATTTCCTAAACACACATTTTAGAAAAAACATGATTCTTATTCAAAAAAATCATGAATTACGAAAAAGTTTATTTATTCAAAAAAGATCACAAATTAGGAAAAAATCAGTTATTCAAACAAGTTAAAGATTTTTTAAAAAGTTCATCAGTTTTAAAAAGTCCAAAAAATTGAAAAAAGATCATACATTTGGAAAAAGTTCATCAATTTTGAAATAAAGTTCATCGATCTTCAAAACAAGTTCACACATTTGAAAAAAAGTTCATCAAACTTGAAAAATAGTCATCAAACTTGACAAAAAGTTCATTGATTTAAAAAATGTTCATCGATTTGAAAAAATAAAAAAATCATAGATTTAAAATAAAGTTCACGGATTTGGAGAAAAACATTCAGAAATTTGAAAACAAAAATTCACTCACTTCGCAGAAAAGTAGAAAGAAAGAAAAAAATGAAATGAAATGCGAAAATCCGCATCTAAGCCCAGGCTCAGATGCTCCCGCTAAGAAAAAAATTCAAAACAAATACTAGAAAAATTCAAAAAAAAACATTTTTTGTGTGTAGTAGATAATGTGTTGCGTGAGGTCCGCTGCAAATTGCAACTCATTTGGACATTTGAGCAGCTCTCGGCAAAAAAGACAAATCAGGTCAAAACAGTTCATGAACAGTAAACTTTTTTACAGACCTCAATTTTGTCTTTTTTGCCGAGAGATGCTCAAATATCCAAATGAGTTGAATTTTGCAGCGAACCTCACGCATCAAATTATCTACCATACAAAAAAAATTGGAACTTTTTGAATTTTCTAGTATTTGTTTTGATTTTTTTCATCGGCGCGGGTGCAGCTGAGCCCGGGAGCCAAATTGGCCTTCTCAATGAAATGCAAAACTGAACAAAACTGTTTTTGAGAAATGAGAAAAAAAGGTTTAAAAGGCTCTAAGTAAACATGAACAGGTGGGTTGGTCGAATGGTTAGAAAACTGGTGCTTAAGGCGTCGTTTAGGATTTGCTGCATGCATTGCCTGACAATTTTCATATTATTCATGTCTCTGTTTTCATATTTGCCTAATTAATACATAAAGAGACCAAGACGGAAGAGGACGAATAGCAACAAGTTTCCTCCAGCGGCCTTTAAATAAAGCACATCGCTAAAGTTGACCTCCGGTCTACTGCCTAATGACTAAAATTTTGTGTTTTCTTTACCTTGGCCCGACCAGCTTTTTGTTTAAAACTGCGCCACGGGCAGCAGCCGGCCTACATTCACTCAGTTAGTGTGCAATTATGGAGAGCGGAGTGGCGGGCTCCGACATAGAAGAAGACAAATGAGAATAAATGTATTTTATACTAAACATTTATATTTTTGTATAGTTTAATCTACGATGTTATAGTCTTAACGAGTATAATTTACCTAGTTAGCATGGTTAACCACGTAACATCAGTGATAAATATTAGTTATAGTGTTACATATCTGTTGCATTGCTGCAATTTTAATAAAAATAACCCCATCAATTATTTTCAATTACTAAATAAACTATAGTGTGAATTATGTGTTGTGTGTGTGAGTGTTTATGTATATTTTATATCTTTTAGTGCCATGGTAGAGATATCTGAAACATACAGTCAAACAAAAATCTTAACAACGATTTCTAGTATGATGATGTATTCATAATTGTAGAATATACTAGAGTACTAAGTTGAACCATTAGCATTGATTATTGACCGGTTTTTTCAGGGTCAAATGTGTGTTGCAAGTTCTGGTCAGTTTAATAATAACTTGACACTATGTGTATGTTTTATACTTTATATTACAATAACATCAGTTAATAGAGTTACCGATGGACATATAAATAACATCACTTGATACTTTATATTAAAAACGACCCTGAGTGAAAAAATGATGGGAAAACTAGCAACTACTGGCTCAAAAAGAAAAAATCATTTATTGTAGGGCAAAAATTATTGAAAAATAATTTGATGAAATAATAAAATTTACAAAATTTCATTTTAAAAATTCATTGATTTTAAATAGTGTTCAGAATTTAGAAAATATTTAAAAAATTTAAGAAATGTTCATACTGATTAAAAATAAAAAATACATGAAACTAAAAGGTTCATGAAATTTTAAAAATACAAGTTCTTTACAAAATCATATATTTAATTAATAGTTCACGTATTTAAAACATTGTTTATTAATTAGAATAAGAATCATGTAGCAAAAAGATGTTCATGGAAGAAAAATAGAAAAAAAAGATAGTTGGGTCAACCCAATACGCAGAGCCCTGTGCGTTACAACGACACGTGCAGGTCGGTGTGCCTTCTCATGCAGAAAACATTGACATTTATAACTTGGGCCATGTTCGTGGTATTTTTATGTCTGTTCTCCGTCAAACTCCTGCCTGCTAAACGGTGCCTCAACCTGGATTTTACAGTGACACCTCCAGAGCCGACAAGCTCCTCGGAAGTCAGAGCCACCCTAGAAGAACAATCAACGCTATGGAGCACGGAGCAACAACTTGTTTAACAGACAAAAGCTACAGATTTCAGGATGCACCGGAACTCGGCACAAGGAAAATCAAAGCATCAAACACCGGCAACACGAAACAAGCAGCACACAGGTGACACACAGGTGAACTACTATATGAGCACGCCCAGGATGAAGCTCAAACGCTGTCTGATCAATGACTGTAGAGAAGTTTAAAAATTCACAGTATGTCAAGGAAGATGCACATTTCAGAACTCATATTGCATAGCACCAGGGTGCACATCATTACATTGTAGTGGAGAATACACCCAGCTTGATTATTATTCAGCTTATTTATTTGCCTTGATCGAATACTCGCAGTTTGTTATCTCAAACGTTTACACAATAACACATATGTACATCCACGAGAGCGCATACTTATCGGTGTATACATACAAGAACCATCTTGAGCTATGCCCCACCCTAGGGAAAAGAATTGCTTGAGCACACAAAACTGGCTATCTACACCAACTTGATGAGCAACACTAGCCTAGGGTTAGAGCACCATTTCGGAAACTGTACAAATGTCACTGCCCCAACCAACATTCATAAATAGCCAGACTAGACGCCGACAGGACCAGTACAAGGAGAACACAAGCGTCTCTCCGAAACAACTGAACCTTCTATGACGAATGGCTGATGCTCGCTCACTCACTCGTTACCCTGGAAAACGTAAATGGTCGCTGTTGAGATGCAGTACATTTTCAGGCCACAAGCATATGAACATGGAAAGAGACTGAATTCTTACATGGATGGGAGATGGCTACTCTGGGACCCGAGATTTTCCATGCCTTCAGGTTTATTTTCGTCTCCACCAGAACCATACGACGAGAGCAACTGCCTCTGCAATCAAAAAAAGGTAAATCGGACGGGCTTTCAGAACAATACACTGGAACAAATCAAGCAATGAAATGAATTAATTTGCATAGTTGTGTGCAAAATACATGCAATGCCGCTTATCAACACGGCTAATATGTACCAGGGGTTATCTTTGAAGACCACAAAATTGCGTCTTTGCAGGGTTGTTTAGGGAATAATTGTTTCATATATCATTTCTATGGTCAACGCATCATTACAGTTTAATGAAGATCAATGATCGCTCAGGAGTGTAATGCTTGAAAAAGACGGATACAGTTCAAATTCCATCAGATAGTCCGGGGGCAGAGATAATCAAAGCGTGCTAGGGCACTAGCTACCTGATGTGCTTCCATAGCACTAACAGACTTACTATGAACATATATATCAATATATCAAAGATGTTTATCAAAAATACATTTTTCCCACTAATAAGATGAACACTGGCAGCCCATAAAATTAACTATAACTAGTTGACCTTTTGAAAAAATTTCCCTAGCAAAAACATGGAACAAATGTTTTTAAGTGGTCGTTATACGGTACCATATCGATGAAATAAATTTGTGGCGCCTCTGTAAAGAGAGAAGAACAGAATGCGCTTCTCCTGTGTAGGTCTCAGAGAGAGGCGAGAGGGTGGGGTTGGGCTGGGCTGAGCTTTGCATCGTCTTCTTTCTTTTTCTTTTTCTTTTTTCATTTTGTGCTATAAGGCAAAGTTTTTTGCGCCTTTTTTCAATGTGTTTGCAAAGGGTCATAGACTTATACTAGGTTAGGAGTGTGCAGCGATTTAATTTGCTAGTGGCTCTGAGTCAACCTGCAGTCACACTAAGTCTTGTGATCTAATTTGTTGCCATACACCACAACTGTCATAAAGTTATGAAGGAGTTGGGTTGCCACAAAATGCATCACACATTTAAAACCTTAAACAAGATTTCAGCACACTGTGGATTGTCAGAGACCCATGACTTCGAAATCAGAATACCTAAGAAGGGGGTAAATCTATTTACATTATTGTTGTGAAGCATAAAGTGGAATTTTAGGGTGTCCTAGGAAGGAATATGACGTAACCTGACAATGCTAAAAATATCTGAAAACACAACTATCACAATAATCATTGCACTGGATCGAAGTATGGTGTGGTCAAGCACAAAGATAGTATGCAAGGACGAAGAAGCATTAGAACATCAATATAAGACGAAGAAAGAAGAAACAAAACTTACATGGGCCTCAAATTCTGGGTTAATCAAGTTCATGGATAGATTTCGCATGAGCAGTAGTACCTGTAGATTAGTCACTTCAACAGATCAATATTCATTGCAAGTGAAAAGGAGAAGTTTGTGTGTGAAAAATACAGATAAGGATATGATAGTAATAAAATGCATGAACTCCAAGTCATGAATGGATAACGATGAAATGCAGTACAAGGAAATTTAACAAAACTAGAAGGAATGAGAGCATCAGGACCAAGGACTGTTTATTAAATGCAAAATGTAGGTGATCCTTCTTCGTAACTCGCACATATCTATTCTAACACATCACTGCAAGATTTTACAAACTCTACAAAACATTGTAACTTCTAATTTTTATTCTAATAACAGTGCTGGATAAGAGAATTATGACAAAACATTCAGAAACTATCTCTCCTATGACCATTGTTAATCAAAAGGCATGACTTTTTAGTCTTCTTTGGTAGTCAACAAATATTTATACACGAAAACTATAGCCAAGACTACAGCCTAAACTAGCAAAAAGGAGTGGCAATTTGCCAGACACATACAGGAATTAGTTCCATTGAAATGGGAAAGCTAATATAATGGTGAAACAACAAAACTGTTATAATAAAAAAAAAGGCCTTAGAGCAAACATACCGTTTCCACATCAATAGGATCCATTGCCTTTAACCTCTGCAAATGTCCAGTTGTATCTGGATCGAATACACTTCCCAGGAAGTTGTATACCTGGGAAAAATCTGGCATAGCTGCACGTGTAACCAGGGAGCAGCAGAATTAAGAATACAGTGAGAAATAGAATCGATCTCACAGAGATTCTCTAGCTTAAGGTAATGTTTAAATAAGAAAAATATATCATACATTCCATAGTAGGTAAGAACTAAGCTGATGGCCTAGATAACAGTTGCGAGGATGGATTTGCTCGGCCTAAAGAGGAAACTTACCCCGCATCTGTGGCAGCACGTTTTCTTGTTCAACTGCTTCAGAGGTTGGCCACGTTCCAGATTGGCTCTCTATACTGCTAGAGCAGTTATTTGTGGCAATGGCACTTGTAACTGCCAAACATGTGAAACTTCAGTACTTTCTTCATAAATCGTTAGTCTTCAATCGGCATTATGACAATAGTGAATAACAGACCTTGTGTAGGTTGAACAAGAGCATTGTCCCAGGAAGGCACCACGGCATTTGCATTTGTGCTTGGTACAACCATAGATGCATCCATAGACACATTAACACTATCTTGATCCCTCGGAGGAGGGGGAGGAGGAGCAGGTTGTTGTGATAAAACAGCTTGGGATGCTACAGGGGCTAAACAAATTTTAGTTAGCAAGCGCTGAAGTGCTGAAGTAGAAACAGTTCACGCTGGAGACTAGAAAGTATAAACATGAACGGTAAGTACCAGTTTTAGAGGCCTTCTGCGGATATGGATGGGCTGCCTTACGCTTCGGCCGAGGCGGTGGTAAATGTTCGCCTGTACCGTTCTTTTGAACCTTCAAAAAGTACTTCTGTGCATGGCTCCTTATCTGTTACAGAAAATGCGCAGTGTGCCAAGAAGGTTTAGCACGCCAACTTTTTTTTCCTGATATTGTGATTTTAAACAATACAGGAGCGCGGCTTTTGTAATGAGACTCAACTTGTTTCACTAGTATAACCTGAGTGCACCAAAAGTTGAACAATTTGCTTATATAATAATGTGTGGTACACTAAATAAGGCTTGGCCAGCATTATTCAAATTTTTCTCAGTTAGCATTTGCAAGGAGTTGTAGATACTAAGATAGCTACCAACTATACCTGTATCACAGTTTTCGAGCCAACAAATGCTTCTATCTTTTTCCAATCACGATCAAACCTATAATAACAGACAAAAAGAAAGAGGTGAATCCCTTTATAGTAATACTGTCAGTTGCATACTCGCACCTATAACTAATATAAATGTATAGCTGAACCCCTTGTCAAAATCACTTCCTTTTTCCCCCTCTCTTCCAAGCTGCAGGCAGATGGGCACCATGTGCTCCAATCAAGACCCAAAAGTATACAATCCCGGTGATACATCAGTTGGACATGAATCCTAACTTGCAAAAATTTCAATTAAACCTCCCCCAATGCCTTGAAACAAACATCGAATAAATAAAACACATCTGCCTTTTGTTAGTATGCACGCCCTCTGCTGCCCCTGAACCGAGCGCCAAATGCTTAATTGCTTATACCACATTTCAGCCAGAAAGCGAATCAAATCATAATCCAAGACTCTATGAAGAACCCAAAATGCTAGGCGTGGATGGAGAGTGCCTGGGGCCAGTTATAACGGATTCTGCAAGAATCTCACCCAATCCAGTAAGCCCGGCAGGCAATACCAATTAGGAATCGGCACGCTCGGCTCCACCCAAGATATACAGAGCATCTAAAACAAAAAAAAAATCACATTTCGTGGGGCGGACGCGGAGACCGAATCCACCGGGACACGAGCGGCGCGGACAAAACAAAAGCCGGCGAGCACCGGCAGGGATCCGGCCGGCGCCGGCAGGCTTTACGGACCCAAGGCAATAGCAGGCACGAGGAGGGAGGGCGGGATGGATTGGGAGGAGGGCAGGGGGGCAACTCACAGCTGCAGCGCCTCGAGGAACTTGTCGTGCTCGGGCTCGGTCCAGCTCTCCCGGGACTTGGTGATGGTGTAGGGCTTCCTGACCTTCATCCTGGCGTCCTCCGCGGCCGCCGCGTCCGCCGGCACGGCCATCGGCGGCCCCGCGGCCACCGCCACCTGCTGCTGCTGCTCCTTCCCCTTCCCGCCTTTTCCGCCTCCCCCTCCCCCTCCGTCCCCGCCGCCCCCTCCCACGGCGGCCGCCGCGGCCTCAAGCGGCTTGGGCGCGGTGCTCATGGACACCATCCGACGGCAGACTCTCTCCGCTGACCGACCGACCGACTGCAGGCCTGTGGGCTGTGGTAGGTGCGCCGCGGGAGCTAGGGTTTCCGCCTCCGACTCCTCTCTCTCTCTCTCTCTCACTGGTGCGCCTGCGTGTGGCCTGGCTGCTTGGGGAAGGGAATGGCCTGGGTCTGGATTCTGGAGTGGCTCGGGTCGGGCCGCTCGCCTTTTCTTTTCTTCTTTCCGGCGTGGTGTGGAGCGCGCGCGCGCGCGTGTCAGGGCCGAAAGATGGTCCTGTGCGGCTGCGGGCGGGCGGGCGGGCGGACGTCTCTGGGCGCTTCGCCCGGCGTCCGGACGCCCGTGGCCACAAGCGTGGTCGGCCGGCCATGATGCGGTTCGCGCGCGCCGATGCGACCCACGTGGGCGTGTGCGGCCGCCGGGGGAGCGCCGCCCGGACCGGCCCCGGAAAGCCAGTTGGATTCGCTCCTCTTTTATTCCCCTGGCAGTATACGCGCCACGCGCCCACATTTTCTAACTCGTAGTATCTTATCTTATTCTAACAGGTCAAAAATTTCTTAAAAAAACACAGGTCAAAAACATTTACTCCCTCGGTCCCAAAATATAAGAGCATTTTTAACACTGACGGAGTAAAAACTTGTCCCTCCAAACCCCTTTCCCCCTTGCTACTTCGGCGGTTTCTGTCTCAATCTTTTGTGGGGGAGTTTCTCTTTGCCGAAACCAAAATAAACAATTTTTATTTCGAATCAGACTTGAAAGAACGACCCAAATCTGATTGGGGCTATTTTTAATGCGTTGGGCCGAAACACGTCGCGGTGCACCTGATAGTCAAATCAGCTTTGCCACGGCGAATACATGGATGGTTATGTCGAAACTGAGGCTCGGACAAACAAGGCCTTCGCCTCTTCTGCCAGCGAACTCGACCTCATGGAGGCTCCTCTTCGCCCTTGGGAGGCACCACCCGCACATCTACTGGCTTTTGTGCTCCAGTTTTGCCTCTATCCTCTCACGTCCCCCTCATGCGTCGCTTGAGGCTCGGGAGCAGTACAAGTGTTGGGGTTGAGGCTGCCTCAACTCTTGAAGGCCAATAGGTGTAGTTGTTGTGAATTTGGTCGTGTGGCCCACTCAAAAAAAAAGAAGTCGGTCGTGTCGCGACAGACCTGGCTGCGTACATGAAAACCTGCTTTTGCATGATCTAGCGAAAAAAGGCACGCGTTGTCGTGTGTCGCCTCTTCTCACCGGGGTCGTAAATTTCCGCCGGAATCTTGCTTGCCACCGCCTTAAACTCGCATCGCCATCAACCTATAGTCTTGGATTTCGCATCCTCGATGTTTTGGTTTCTGTTTTGTAAAAAGCACCGTTTTTTGGCTACTCACGGAAGGCTAGAGCATACCGACGCGCACATAGGGGATTAATAAGCAGGTTACTCACATATGCAGCGCCTCTAGGAACCTATCGTGCTCGGGCTCGGTCCAACTCTCCCTGGACTTGGTGATGGTGTAGGGCTTCCTGACCTTCCTGTCCCCCACCGGCATGGGCGGCGCTGCGCCGATCAACGCCATCCGCTGGAGCAGGGACTCCTGTTCCAGGTCGGAGTTGCGGCCATGACTTCCGCCCACCTCGGCGACAACCACGACGCTCTGCTTCGTCTTTAGCTGCATTGGGTGGAGTGGCACAGTCGATGAGAACTAAGGGGACGGGCGGGGTCCCTCCCTTGTTGTGTTCTTTTGGGGCGGGCGCGGTGCGTGCATGCGGTTTGTCCGAGGGGCTAGAAGCGAAGCCAATGGGCATGTTAATAAGTAGGCGGATGGAGCCTTCTTCCTCCATGCTGCTGCTGGTGTGTTGGGTCATACGCTTCGCGCTCCCGATGATGATGATGACGACGACGACAACTACGATGATGCCTTTCTCTTCCTCGCCGCGCACGCAACACTGCGTGCATGTCCCTCGGCGGAGCGCTGCCTGGGCCGACCTCCAAAAAAGGTTGCCGAGCTTCGCTCCACGGCGGCTGCAAGGGATCGCCCGGACGAACGGCTTATGATATATGAGTGTCACGCGAGTGTGGAGTTTCTGCCAAGTCCATGACGTCCATGGCCGAACGGGGAGCAACAGCATGCCATCCGGTGCCTACAGTGACATGGGGCTAACAAACTTCCTGCTTTTCATGTGCTTATTAAGAGCAACCGCAACTCCAACAGTGGATAAAAAACGCAGCCGAAAGAAGGAGGAAAATCAGATTTTTGTTTACGACAATGCTATTTTCCTGCCGACTGGTGGTTTGCAACAGGCACGTAGGAATCAAACCTAGAACCTGTTGGTTGAGGCCATAGCACGTTACCAACTGAGCTAACTCTCTCTTCTGGTTTTACATGAAGATTACATGTTTTTATAACTTATTAAACGAGTGGAGAGGAAAAAACAACTCAGTCCGTTTCTCTCAGGCGACAAAACCGGGAATTTGTGTGTAAATAGCATGGTATTTGACGCATGCGGACCTAGTAAATTATGGTGCAAAGACCGTGATAACTTATGGGTAAATAGCACGATTATGCATAGTAGATCTGATAATTTACATACAAATACCATTGGTAATTTTGACCCGGAAAAATATATTGAAACATATCCCGATAACTTCTGTCTAAACAACAGGATAATATACACATCAATTTTGTGTAAATAACACAGTAATTTACGCACGATCTGACAATATAATAAACAACCATGGTCACACAATAGAGCCGGTAACTTTTGACTGGGGAAAAATTTAGTGGAGAAACAAACCCCTGTAACTTTTATGTAAATATGATAGTAATATACGCACAATAGAGCCGATAACTCACATACAAACACTACGGTCATTCTTTTAACCCTAGAATGAAAGTTGTTGAAAACAATACCCTGGTAACTTTTGTGCAAATATCATGGTAATATAAGAAAAACAAAGATGATAACTCGCGTACAAGCACCATGGTAACCTTTCTACCCAAAAAATGTTAAATAATCTAGTATCGTAACTTGTATGTAAATAACATGATAATATAGACACAACAAAGTTGATAACTCACTTACAAACACTCTGGTAACTATTTGACCCGAGGAAAAATATTGAAAAACAACCCCTGATAAATTCTGTGTAAATAAGATGGTAGTATACACACAACAAAGCTGATAACCCACGTACAAACACCGTGGTAACTCCTTTGACCATAGGATAAAAGTTGTTGGAAATCATACCCCAGTAATTTCTGTGCAAATAACATGATAATATACACACAACATAGCTGATAACTTTGACTTTAAAAATTTTCTCTTTGGAAAACATTACTCCGATAACTGTTGTATAAATGACATGATAATTTATGCACTGCAGCCCTGATAATTTAGATACAAATATGACGGTAATATTTCAACGTGAGGGGTGCTTGAAACGTACCCTGATAATTACTATGTAAATAGTATGATAATTGATATACCGCTGTCATGATAACTTATGTACAAACACCACGATAACGTTGACCTAAAAAAAAGTTTTTAAAAACATCTCTTGATAACTTTTGTGTAAATATCATGATTTTTACAGACTGCAAAGTATAATAATTTTGTACAACACCCAGCCGTATCCCTGACCCAAGAAAAAATATTTCAAATATTCCCCGGTAACTTATGTATAAAAAGCATGATAAGTTACGCACCAAATGGTTGATAACTTTTGTACCCTCGCAAAAAAAAACTTGTGTACCCTGGCATGCTTTTTACAACGAAGTTACCATGATATGTCAACAATTTTTACTACGTTAAAATTACCATGATGTTGTAAATATTAACAGAGCAGCCGGGCCATCTATATAGGATAAAAAATATAAAAGGAAAGAAAGAAAAACTATTCGTTTCCAGGTCACGCTAAGTAGCAGTACAAATACTACCTAACCTCAATCTAATCACCGGCTCAATCTAGACCTGGTGGTTGTGAACTACTATGGTCTACCAGGAGGTGGTGGGTTCAATTCCAACTTCTGCCAATTCTTTTTATTGCGCTAGAAGGAAAAAAAGGATCGATTCCCACATCGAGAGAAGCGGATCGTACGTGGGTGGAATCGTCCGGATCTGTCACTAACGATTAGTCGACTGGTCGTTAGCACAGTCCTTTTGTTTATTGTTTTTGGACTAATAAACTGATTCATGCCAAACGGTAGACTAATAAACGGCTGACAGCAGGCAAAAACCTGCATGGCAACAGAAAAAATTGCTATAGGAGTGCTATATTTGGGTATCCACTTCCCTCAAAAAAAATTGGGTATCCACTAGCACAAGACCATAAAAATGTAAAACGATGACGTCAAGCCTCTTTGACGCGCGGTGCTCGCAGAGTTTCTCCTATAAAAAGCATAACGAGGGTTAGCCCTTGGGTTGGTCTCATTTTTTTACGATGCCAAGCCTAACCGCCGCCCCGTCAAACTTCTTTTGTAGATAACCGACTTCCAAGGATGACTCAGCCGTGCATTGAGACTCCAGGCGAAAAAAAAGAGGCCAAAAAAAGAGAAGGCATAAAAGAACAAAAAACAAAAAAATGAGAGAAAAAGAGAGAAGGGGTAATGCTACTATCATTTTACCACACTTGTGCTTCAAAGTAGCACCATGACCTTCATGATAGAGAGTCTCCTATGTTATCACTTTCGTATACTAGTAGAAATTTTTCATTATAGAATTTGGCTTGTATATTCCAATGATGGGCTTTTCTCAAATTGCCCTAGGTCTTTATGAGCAAGCAAGTTGGATGTACACCCACTTAGTTTTTTTTAGCTTTCATACATTTATAGCTCTAGTGCATCCGTTGCATGCCAATCCCTACTCACTCACATTGACATCTATTGATGGAGATCTTCATAGCCCGTTGATACGCGTAGTTGATGTGAGACTATCTTCTCCTTTTTGTCTTCTCCACAACCATCATTCTATTCCACATATAGTGTTATGTCCATAGCTCACGCTCATGTATTGCATGAAAG